CGTGAGGCGCGTGGGCGCTCCAGGCCCCGGTCCACCCGAACGATGGAGGCAGCGAGCGCGCCATCTGCGCATGGTGCGAGGGCCGCGTGGGCCGACGGGCGGCGCCACTCGCTTGGGACCAAGGCCGGGGCGGCCTGCGCCGACATGGACACTGGGACCCCCTCAGTTGCTGACTGTGGGGTAGAAATTTTGGTGCTGAAAAATTTCTTTTCAATCTAAACCGTCTGAAAAGTATCTCTCGAAACTCAGACTCTGTGGCCACTCTCAGTGGGGCGGTGTCCTCGTTAGTGCCCGGGCTGGCAGACGGTCACAGGCTGCGCGGCTCGGACGTGAGCAGTCAGTTCTGGACACGGGAGGTCTCAGGTCAAGGCGCCGGCAGAACCAGTGTCTGGTGAGGACCTGCCTCCTGGTTTGCAGAAGGCCATGTCCTTGCTGTGTCCTCACATGGTGGAGTGAGACAGAGACAGAGACAGAGAGAGGGAGAGAGAGACGGGGAGAGGGAGAGAGAGACGGGGAGAGGGAGAGAGCGTGTTCTAGTTCCATTCCCGAGGCCTCCACCCTCTGATCTAATTGCTCCTCCCAACACCTTCCTATGTGGAGTTAGTGTTGGGGGCGGGGCACAGACATGCAGCCTTCAAAACGACGCTGTTTCTAGTAGTTTATTTTTTATTTTTTTATTTTTGAACCAATACTGATGTGGACAAGCCGAGATGGCCAGTTAGGTTGTGCCTCCTGAGTAAAAACACCTTGGAGGCTTCCTTATCCTCGGATTTCAGAGCGGGGCCGGTAAGATAATGCAAAGTCGGCGGGAGGATGCGGATTCGGGGAGCCAGACCCAGGCTGACGGGAGAGCTGGCTGCGAATAACAGAGAACCCAGGGCGGGGCAGAAGCTCGGGGCAGAGGAGAGGAGCACTGGGAGGTGGGGTGGCTGCAGAGACCGCCTGGTTGGAAGGTGCTCAGGTGTCACTGAGGAGCCGTGAGGCCAATGCCAGAGCGCCTCTGGGGCTCAGGGCAAACGCTGAAGGAATGGAGGGGCCATGCGTGAGACGATGCACAGCTGCCCCCTCCTGCGGATTCTGTGGTCGTCGGTCGACGTCAGAGATTGCAGAGGGTCCCAGGCAGCATCACGTGATGTGGGGTTTCCACCGCTCACAGCTGGGGCATTGCAGCGAAGTCCCAGAATCGCAGGTTTGAAAGCGAAGGTGACTTGGGGGGGTCGTCATGTCTAGTTTTGTTCACTCCCTGCAGCATCGTCCCTGCCACGTGGAGCTCGGCCCAGGCGAGTGATGAGGCGCCCGTGGCCATGCTCGTCACCCGCTCCGTGTGGGATGCCGCGAACCGCTACGAGCTGCTGCCCTCCCTGGACAGACCTACAAGAGACGAGCATTCGTGCTTCCTGGGTGGATGGGGGCATCCGACACCCTGTGCCTTTTCAGAATTCTGAAATCTGTGAAGACATTATCAAGAAATACAGGACATGCACATCTGTGCTGCATGACGACCCGCACGTCTTCATTTTAGTCCAAGCGCCGAGCTCCGGGCCCTTCCCCAGCGCGCCCTCTGCACCGTGTCGCCCAGGTGTGGGCAACGAGGTCGGCGCCCCGCCTCGTCCTCAGGCGGAGCAAGCCCCGCCCTGCCCCTTGTTTCCTCGTGAACCGTGAACCGTGGCCTCTGACCTCGCTCATCCTGCCCGTGTTCCCCTTGCGCCTTTGCCCGGGACCGAAACTGGGCTCCAGAAGGAAAAGCAAATACCTGGGGTCCTGTGACCAGGAGGAGGGAGGCGACAGCTTTTCTCCATCTCTTGTTTTTCCGGGTACTGCAGACCAGGAAGCGCGCGTCCCTAACTTTAGAGCCTCTTGTCTGTGAGCACACGTCGACCTTGACCCCGCTGACCTTCAGTCTTTCACGTTTGTTGGCATTAATTTATCTCTCCCATCCTATTATTATCCACGGACTTTCTGGAATTAAATGTACATTTGAATAAGTTTCTCTTAAAATTTGTCCGCTCGTTTCACCCTGTCCAGATCATTAGTTCCCGAGGAGCACAGGCAATTCCTGATCCATTTTCGTATTCCTGGGACGACGCCTTGCAAATATTAAAAATTCGTCATGGAATGCATGAAAACCAGTGCCAGGGAACCACTCCTGAATCCCATTTGGTTTTCATTGACTTAGAAAAGATTTTCAAGGCCCCTTGACATTTTAAATGACCTGCTTTGTGTAACCTAAGGACAGACTTCCCCCCGTGGTCCACTGGTATCACTGGTGGTCAAGGGCGGGTACCTCAGCCGCCTTGTCTGTGAAACGAAGGGGTTATCTCGATGGCCTGGGAAGTTCCTTCCACTTGCAGTAATTCGCCTTCTGTGATCTGGGTCACCGTGTTCTTTAGCAGGGACAAGGCCCATGGAGAGAGCCTTCGGGGGCCGCGGGCTCCAGCGTACCTGCCAAGTCCCCCAGGGCAGGCTCTTCCTGGACAAAACCCCACATCCGTGTGTTTCTCTAACAGGCCACGAAGCCACTCCCCCTTTGTGAATGTTTCTGTGGCATTTTCAGGCCTGGATGTGAGTACTGAGAAAACAGACAGGGACGTAGTTGACCGTATAAACATTGAAATTCAAAGTTAAATAAATTCCCAGCAAAATGATACTTTGGTGATTGTTTTTTCAAAGAAAAGAAAAGAAAACATACACACATGCATCTATGATCATGCTGTGCCAGACGAGGGGCCCCAGGGAGGTCTGGGGGAGGAGAGGACTTGGGACATTAGCTCAAGGGCAGGCTTTGATGGGTAGCTCAGCCTGGAAGTCACGTTTCTGAGTTGAGGCGTGTGTGATTTAAAGCTTTGTAGGGCTCTACTCCCTAGTGGCAAGCAGAGACTCCGTGAGGCTGTCTGCAGTGTTGTCAGGAGCAGGGGACCAAATCCCTGCTGAGTAACGTTTAAAAAGCAGTTGGAAACTGAAGCCAAAGTTTCACTGGTCGTCTCACAGACCATGCTCGTTGCACGTACCACTTCCACGCGTGTTCCTAGGCCAGCCCGTGACGTCCCTTAGTCTCTAGGGGACTTTATAGGTTAGACTTCCTCTAACCTATAAAGGTTTTCGAGGAAGTTGATATTTACGTGGTGCCTACTGTTTGCTGGGATTTACATTCGATCTCATTTAGTGTCTAAACAACTCTTGGACCTGGACATTATATGAATTGTCAGTGGAGTCGTTGGCTGTGCTCCCCTGGTTTGCCCTGAGGCTGCATCTCGGCAGGTCACCTGGGACAGTATCCTCGGCGCCAGGGAAGCCTGGGGGCCGTGAACAGCTTTCTTCTGCCCCATGTGACAAAAAGTGAAGCCTTTGTCTCGCACACTTGCCACCGCAGAGGTGAGGATGGGGACACACTGCGCTCGGGCTGTCGCGGCTTCCGGGAGGACGTGCTCAGACTCAGCGACCGCGTGCATCATGTGGCCGCACAGCTGGGACGCACCTCCTCACGCAGCCCCAAGAGAAACCGCCGGCTTGGAGCGGGGAACGCAGGTGTGAAGATGTTTTAAGAAATATGTACATGGAGTATCCATGGCGGCTACCTGTCAGTGTTCGTGTGATTTCCACAGATTTTATAATACACAACATTTTGTAATTTAAATTGGGTTTGTTTTCCAGAAAGAACCCAAAGCGTGTGAGGGACAAGCGGTGAGCCGTCATAAGGAGGCCGTGTGAGGTCAGGCACATCTCAGCAGTTGCCACAAGCCCCATCAGGACGAGCCTCGCCTGAGGAAAGCCATGTCCCTCTGGGAGGCCCCTGGCACCAGCCAGACGTGGGCCTGGGCGAAGGGCAGCTCTGGCCTTGTCTCCCAGGAGTGTGCCGCTGAGCCTCCCCGGAGGTCGGGAGCAAAGGCTGAAGCCATCGGATGCAGAGATGAAGCTGGAATCCGCATTTTCTGCCAGGCAAGAAGAAAAAGTGTGATTTTGTTATTACTTTTTTTTTTTCATCTTGTTGGGAGTGGAGGAAACCATTTTGTCTTCCTGTTTTTTTCCCCTCGGAGATTTATTTTAAGTCCCCAGTCTGCCCTGAGGCGGCGGGAACTCATAGGCATTGTGGAGCCTGCTGAGCGGGAGGTTCATTAACAAAGCCTTTCGCTTGTATTTCAATGCAGCTTTGCCAGGAAAAGTGC